GTGCAGGTGGTGGGAGACAGAAGGACTCTGGCCAAAATAACATCTCTGATGGACAGAGTCTCCCACCCCATGCATGTAGATGTTGCTGAACTGCAGAGCTCCTTCAGTGACAGACTGCTGCATCCTAGATGCATGAAGGAGCGTTTCCGCAGGTCCTTCCTCCCTGCAGCTGTCAGACTGTACAATCTGAACTGCTCCCAACAAACATAGATGTTTACATCTGCGCTGTAACTGCAATAATTTAATCAACCGATTCGCACTACAACCTGGTTTGCCTCTTATCTGTAGTTATTTTTATTTCACTTAATAATAGTACAGTACTCTGTTTATAGTAACCACTGTCCTTAATGTAAATATGTCAGAAAAATTGGGTATGTTTCTGTTCTGTGTCCTGTGTACTGTTTGTAGTATATGTGTCTTTCTGGCTGCTGTTACAACCAAATTTCCCCTTGTGGGACAATTAAAGGATTATTCTATTCTACTCTGAGTACTCAAAGCACTTTACACAACTTGTACATTCACTTGAGTACTTTTGGTGTCGAACTCCTCGAGGGCCGGCGTCCTGTAACTTTTCCATGTGTCCCTGCTGCAACACAGCTAAATAATATTAGTTGGTCATTAGAAAGACTCTATATCAGCCATTTGATTTATGTCACAGCAGCTCCTGAGTGAATGAATAAGATGCAATAAAAGTACTTTTAGAAGTACATTTCTTCTTTAAAACTTGCAATTTTATTTAAATATACTTGAGTAGGGTTAGGTGTCAGGTGTGTTGCAGCAGGGACACATGGAAACGCTTCAGGATACCGGCCCTCGAGTTTGTCATTCCTGTGCTTACTATCTAGCATTCATATGCATTCATACTCCGATGGATGCATCGGCGTTAGCATCTTGCTCAGGGATATTTGGCATGCAGACTGGAGCAGACTGGGATCAAACCCCTGACCTGCTCTACCACCTGAGCTACAGCCAACCCCAGAAGCTTGCCAAAGAGAGCTCAGGCTATGTTGGTGAATTAGGATGTTCATTCCAGACATTGACTTTCAGCCTTGTAAGAATTGTACAAACTGTATTTCCCTGGTTGTTTGGTCATGTTTCAACTTCCCATTTCCCTGACAAAGAAATGAGGGGTGGATCAAGACTTCTGAACAGTTGGAATATCTTGCACTTAAATGTAGGGGTGCAACGATACTCGTATCGATATCGAACCGTTCGATACAGTGCTTTCGGTTCGGTA